GTCAGCAGAATTAGAAACTATGGCCAGCAGAGCATATAATATGTTTGCATGCAACCCATGCATGGAGGATTTAGATGTGAGCAGTCCTGTCTCTTTAAAGTTTAAAACGGACCGACATGCTTCTTTGTTAGGGTTACTGACAGAATTCATTTGGACAAAAAAAAGAAATTGTGCGGAGACTTTCTCATATAACTCGTTCTGTGTTGCCTTCATCACTTTCACGCACACGTTTACTCACAAGACAAATTCTGTATATATGACAACATGTCAAGGACCAAAGATCAGAGAACCGTCGGAGAGAGGGAGTGTGTGTGTCTGTGTATTAGTGTGTTTGACGGGGCTGGTGGTGGGAGAACATGACTCATTAGGTTCTTGAGCATCTTGAGCATCATACTGATGTCCATTCCCAGGTGTGTCATCTAATCTGAGTTTACAGTACACTGTACGTGGCCAGCATATGAAAAAGGTAGAAGGTACTTTACTTGATATTGCTGCTGCTTTACAATTTAGTGAAGCTTATGTGCCTCTCCACTGGGTGAGAAAACACCAAATTGATTTATTTTAAATAGTTGTGTCAAAAAACTGATGGGGCAGAGAGTAACTAGTAACGTTGTTGTTGTTTGTAGGTGTTTTGCACACAGCTAAGATATAAATAAGAAGATACCACAGGGCTGGTGTCTTGAATGTTGGATGCAGATAACCCTTCTGTGCTTCCAGGCTCTTTGATCCTGAAGAAATATGGATTTAGGCTCAACAACTTGTGAAAAATATAGACATGATTGCATGGTTCCTTGAGTTTCCTGTGTTTGCTTGCTGTGCTGTCCAGGGTTATTTTTCAGAAACTGGCTTTGAGCAACCTTACACGGAGGGAAAGGTGAGAGTCATGAAAGTCAGATATAAAGTTTAACGTGAAAGCTGAAGCATAAAATAAAAACTCATCTCAATGTGGCTTTACATAGAAACACTGTGTCCCCTACTGGACAGTGTGACAATAGGACATTTTCAATTTCAATTATTTCAGTTTTTAAATATCTGAAATCTTTTCTGCCTTCTGCCTCTGATGATCCAATCAGATTCCAGCTGATTTGTTCCTACTCTTGCTAACAATGGCACAGTTACTCGAGTCCTGATTGGTTGGTTCATGTGAAACGCAGCTTACGAGTCAAATACACAAGCCTGTGCCTTTTACTGTTTTCTAGGGGCAATTTGTCATTTTGTGTTATTAGTGAAACAACTGTAATTTTCACAGCTCTAAAGCATACTGTGGGCTATTAAGCAGAAGGTAGCGAATGCCTCTGGGGCACATTGTCGAATGTTTGTGAAAGTAGATTTGGAACACTTAGAATCTGGACACACAATAAAATGGTGGGCATTTTACTGTGTACGTACTACACACAAAGCAGCTGTTACATCCATCATTTGGTGAGATCGGTTAGAAAAGCAACACTGACAAGCAACATTTCTCACAGTTGTTTTGTGTTTCTGTATGAATTCAGTGTTTTAGTTCATTGCTACCATCTGCTTTAAGCCAAAGTGTTACAATACAATATTATTGATTATATTAACTATCTGTAATTTGCAACTGTTACATATACAGTGGCTTGCAGAAGTATTCAGCCCCCTTGAACTTTCCCACATTTTGTCACATTACAGCCACAAACATTAATCAATTTTATTGGAATTCCACGTTAAAGACCAATAATGTGCAATAATAACAGTGTGCAATACACATACACTTCTTCTTTTTTTATTACTAAGTTAATATACTGTGTTGTGTTGTTTGTGTTGCGTTGTGATGTGTCATATCGTGTCGTGTTGTGTTATATGTAGTGCCGACGTAGGGCAGTTTTTCAATCTCATTGTACTATTGTACTATGTATGACTGTGCAATGACAATAAAGAGTTATCTTATCTTATCTTAATACAAAGTGGTGTACACGTGAGAAGTGGAACAAAAATCCTACATGATTCCAAATATTTTTTTTACAAATAAATAACTGCAAAGTGGGGTGTGCATAATTATTCAGCCCCCTTTGGTCTGAGTGCAGTCAGTTGCCCATAGACATTGCCTGATGAGTGCTAATGACTAAATAGAGTGCACCTGTGTGTAATCTAATGTCAGTACAAATACAGCTGCTCTGTGACAGCCTCAAAGGTTGTCTAAGAGAATATTAGGAGCAACAACACCATGAAGGGATAAAGTTACTGAGAAATTTAAAGTAGGCTTAGGCTACACAAAGATTTCCCAAGCCTTGAACATCCCACGGAGCACTGTTCAAGCGATCATTCAGAAATGGAAGGAGTATGGCACAACTGTAAAAATAACAAGACAAGGCCGTCCACCTAAACTCACAGGCTGAACAAGGAGAGTGCAGATCAGAAATGCAGCCAAGAGGCCCATGGTGACTCTGGACGAGCTGCAGAGATCTACAGCTCAGGTGGGGGAATCTGTCCATAGGACAACTATTAGTCGTGCACTGCACAAAGTTGGCCTTTATGGAAGAGTGGCAAGAAGAAAGCCATTGTTAACAGAAAACCATAAGAAGTCCCGTTTGCAGTTTGCCACAAGCCATGTGGGGGACACAGCAAACATGTGGAAAAAGGTGCTCTGGTCAGATGAGACCAACATGGAACTTTTTGGCCAAAATGCAAAACGCTATGTGTGGCGGAAAACTAACACTGCACATCACTCTGAACACACCATCCCCACTGTCAAATATGGTGGTGGCAGCATCGTGCTCTGGGGGTGCTTCTCTCCAGCAGGGACAACGACCCTGAACATAAAGCCAGGGCAACAATGGAGTGGTTTAAAACAAAACATATCCATGTGTTAGAATGGCCCAGTCAAAGTCCAGATCTAAATCCAATGGAGAATCTGTGGCAAGATCTGAAAACTGCTGTTCACAAACGCTGTCCATCTAATCTGACTGAGCTGGAGCTGTTTTGCAAAGAAGAATGGGCAAAGATTTTAGTCTCTAGATGTGCAAAGCTGGTAGAGACAAACCCTAAAAGACTGGCAGCTGTAATTGCAGCAAAAGGTGGTTCTAAAAAGTATTGACTCAGGGGGCTGAATAATTACGCACACCCCACTTTGCAGTTATTTATTTGTAAAAAATGTTTGGAATCATGTTTGATGTTCGTTCCACTTCTCACATGTGCACCACTTTGTGTTGGTCTTTCACGTGGAATTCCAATAAAATTGATTCATGTTTGTGGCTGTAATGTGACAAAATGTGGGAAAATTCAAAGGGGGCGAATACTTTTGCAAGCCACGTATAATGAATCATGCAGCCTTTCTCCCCTGCCTGTCAGATGTGTTGCATCCAGATGCTCTAAGAGACCTAGCTTCGCCTCTCATTCCTCTCCCTTTCCTTTGTGCGATAGCCTCCTTTTCTCTGTGGGCTTGAATGGTTGTGTATTTGTGTTTGCCCGTCCTCTTTCCAGGTCTGTGGTAGTAAGGAGCTTGTGTGCCTCAGACCTGCTTATCAGGAAGTTGCTCCACATATGGCATCTCATCTTATTTTTGTGATTTTCCGTAATCATTATTGACCACTTATTTATGGTCCTTTACAACAGTTTTAAACGTCTTCCTGTGTTGTAATCGACACAAACTATTCAAATTCTATGTGGCTGTGCAGCTGTATGCTGAGGGAGGGCAGAAAAGTGCAGCTGTACTAGCTGGAAAGTAGAATAAATCAATTAGAAATCAATAACAAGTGTTAAATAAGGACAAATAACAAGGACATCCCATTTTAAGCCATTACTGTGTGATTTAGGAATTTATTGTATGAGCATGTTTAGGACGTATGGCGTCAGCACTGTAATTCCAGGACAATCAGGGAGACAGGGCGAGCTCCCTTTGATCTGTCTTGAATTTGAGCAGCATATTTCTAAAAAGCAGGAATGAGTGGAAGGACCTCTGAGGATCCACACATCAGTCATTAATCTGATGATGCAGTAGACTTCATGCTCTCATCTGTAGCGGGTGAGTGTGCACCTCAAAGACACTTGTACAGCATGCTGCTGATAGCCCTCTCTCCCGCTCACTCTGCAAGGCATCCAGTACTTACCTGCCTCTCTGCACAATATGTTAGACAAGTCCCTGGAGTAATGCACGGTCAAAGGGAAGATGGATGCGAGAGACAAAAGGAAACAGAGCTACTGCTAAATACTGAAGTACTAGCTAAAATATGCACAAGTGATTTTGTATTGTTGCAGCTTCTGTGTATTTTCAGTGTCTGTTTGTGTTGGCTCATTCTTATTAAAAAGGATAGGTTAACTGTTTTGTATTTGTCTCCTGTTGTATTAGCGTGTGGTCTAATTGCTGCACAATTTCCCTTGTGGGATTAATAAAGTTCTATCTATCGGTGTTTTTGAGGTTACGCCTCTACAAACCTAGAAAACTCTGACTGAGACAGGTTTATATGTCTCTCACAAATATAAATTACTTTCTTCCCTGAAAAACACAATGGGCAAATTTCATCCACAGAAGAGTCACGATGTCGTAGAGAAGATAATTCTGGTTTAAAAAAAAACATGAAATGTGTTAAAAACACAGAAAACGATGAGAAATGTTCTTTTTCGCACATCTCTTCAATCATTTTTAATTCATTTTCTAAAAATCTTTCCTACCACTTTCTTAACACATGCTACCATCCTATGTAACACAATATTATTTCATATGCTGTAACAAAATCTCAGAAATGGATACTTTTACCGACATACCAATAATCTGATATAGCAACAGTCCTAAAAAGAAAAAAACACATATAGAGTAAGTCTAAGTGGCCTGAGATGTAGTCAAATCCTGCCAGAAAGCAGAGATGATCTTTTATCAGAAACAAATATTCATAAATGATTATTATTATTAGTGTTTTTACACTTGTTCTTGTGGAAAAAGGAACCTAAAATCCACTTTTTTCCTATATTTTCACTTTAACAAGTAAATGGTGCCAGTGCATCTCTGTGAGGAACAGCAGTCCTTGTATTAGATTTCTTACCCACACAATAGGCTGCCATTAAAAACCCAGCCGAGCCCGCTAAAACCTGGAAATCCTGCGCCTTGGTTTTATGGACAATCAGGCCGATCCGTGTGATCTGCAGAACAAGTTAAAAAAAAAATAAACAGAAGGGGAAGAGGAAGTAAAAATCAGAATGGTTTCATTGTTATCACTCCTCTTTTTGCAGCAGGACTAATATCGGTTATAGTTTCTTAATCCCAGGGGAGGCTGTCACAAGAGACGACAAACCCAACATCTCACAGGGGTAAACAAATCGCTTGAATTGAGAGAAGCACAGTCTCTACACATGGTCGAGGTTTTTAGAGGAGGGGATCGCTGAAGATCCAAAACAGAAGGGGGAGGAGAAGGAGAGAGAGGGAAACAGACAAGTCCCAAGTGAGAATTAAAAAAGAGGAATGAACTTCAAAAGATGGGAAGCAGAAGGAGGCGAAAGATGGGAGAAGCTCATGAATAACTGATGAGCTCCCCATTTTGTTTCGCCTCTTTTAATTCTCTTTTGTCAATCCAGATATGAAGTGCAGAATCCAAATAACCTGAAGTGTTCAAAGGGAGCATTAGACAACTCTGTGGTTGCTCTGTGCATGAAGCTGAACGCTCCACAGGGAAAACCCACACCCTCCATCCGTGTTACCAAGGAGCTTCTATTTTTAACCGGAGACTGCCAATCAGTTTCTCCATATTATTAATTTCAAACAAGAGGACTGCAGTTGATCAGTCAGTCAGGCAGGCTGCAGGAGCCCCTGCTGGCCTCCTGAAGGCTCGGGCACTCTGGCTATTTAGAGGCAGGTCCTCAATGGAAAAGCAAAATTGCTGCAAGGCTGCAGTCTGCCCTAAAACACAGTCATTTTCTTTTCTTTTCTTTTAACCCTTCTTATTATTGTCATTAGCCTATGATCTAACACGAGGGCATGGGGAGATTTAACCCTCTGCAGTATGAGCTGTACAGGTGGCTGATCTGCTGGAGCTTTTGTTAAAGGTTCAGGTCTTACCTTATTAATGTCAGAAATCTCTATGCCTGTCACTTTGTTTGTTTTCCCCTAGCTTAACAACTGCTCATTGTTTATTCAGCTCATTTTGCTGGGGAACTTATTAAATGTGGTGCAGAGCTCAATGTTGTTTGGGTTCATATCCATGAATCTGATTGAAAATAACAGAAAAAAGTCTCTTTAATATAGTCAAAATAGTCATGCTTTTTCTATATTTTATTTGATAGAAATATCAACATGTAGAGATTTTCAGACGTTCTTCTGAGGAAAAAGAAAAAAAAAACTGTGTTCACAAGCTATTAGTCATGCCGACAGCATAGATGGCTTCTTTTAGCTGTTCAAAAGGGCAAATACTTTCACTTGCAAAATGTTTGAGAGTTTTCATGCACACACTGCTTTCTTCAATGTTTCAATCTGCTTTGAATCTGGGCTTCGAATCAGCCATTCCATAACCCTCAATTTACTTGCTTTGAGCCATTCCTTGGTGGTGTTTCTATTGTGCTCAGGATCGTTATGTGGTTGAAAGAGTGACTTCTGGTTCGACTTCAACTTTCACACAGATAACTTCACATTTTAGTAAGCGTCTTTGACAGAATGCATAATATATGCTTAAATCAGTGGCTACAAGCTGGCATGAGTTTCTTCTCATCCTCATAAAATCTGTTCCTGTCGATTAAACAGTTCTATCTTTAACAGTCCATTCAAAGCATATTGCTTGAAAAAGCCTCAGACTAGCAGAGCTTTGCTCTGATGTTCTTTTTGGATAGCAAAGACTTTTTCTGGTATGCTTCACACGCAGGTCAAACTGATTGCAGATATATGAACTTTGACATCTCTTCCAGTCGTTGCCTGCAGACGCCTTAACACAATTTGAAGGTTTCTGGAGATTTTTTTTTTTTTGCATCAAACACTCTACTCTTGGGCTGACTTTGCCGCTAATTTCATCTGAAAATTATGTCAATTGTAGATAATTTTATGCTTTATTTCAGATCATTCAGAAATCTTTTAAACCTGGGTCAGACTAAAAAATATCCATAGCCTTTTATTCTGAAGGCCTTCGAGCTCTCATAAGATCTGAACATGATGACAGAACAGCTTTCAATAACAAAGTCAAGATCATACATGTCAGATCTTTGAATGAAGCAGCTCACCCCATACCCTGTGCCGATTAACACTTGGCTCTTAATCTCGTACCTGTGATTCTCACTGAATGGATTTACAGGTGTTATAAAAGCGCCCTTTTTCTGTTTTTTTATCAACATGGAAATGACTATGAAATATGAGGTCATATATTGTATATCAGCTTTATATGAAGACATTTTTTTTTTAAACACAATCAAATATGTTCTTGGTCAGTTATGTAAAAAAATCAAATAAACTAATGTACTAGGATGTACTTATGTACTTTATGTATAAAAATGTTTTCAATTTATTTTGATATATATATATTGCAAACATTGGACTACTTTACAGCTCATTTTATAGCATTTTTTGATTTAACCTTTTATTATGAAATTAATTATGTTTCTTCTTTATAATGGGTGTAAAAAAACTATGTATAGATATAGCCTATATATATGTGTAGTTTTAATGTCAGAGACCCTGATTGATATCTTTGATTACCTGGCATGGCAGATGCAAAAAGCCGCTTTATCAGAGGAAAGAGAAAAAGAAAGAAAAGAGAGTAATAGGAGTTAGGACAGATCAAGGGTTAATCTGGTACAAGTACATACTCCAGGGGTGTCAAACTCAAATACACAGTGGGCCAAAATTCAAAACTGGAACAAAGTCGCGGGCTAACGTTAATATTTATTGAAATATATTTATTTCTCTAGATATCAGAATGAATCTTTTCTTATGGACTTAAACATGTTTTGCTGAAAAACTGAATATGGAACAAGCAAAGCTTAATACTAAAAAAATATATATATTAGCTGTATAATACCAGTAGGCCAGCTCTAATAGTAATTTGGTATGGCTTCGCGGACCAAATGTAATTAGGCTGCGGGCCAGAGTTTGACACCTATGAAATACTCAGTGAAGAGATCTTTAGGCTTAAAGGGGCTTCATAACAGAAAGCTAGCTTTATATTTACTCCATCAGTAAGACTTATCTGCTTGTTAACCAACTTAGCATCATCATACAGCCACAGCATACCACAGGAATACATCTCTGAGGTTCTTTCAATTTTGCATTGGCTTATAAAATAGAAATTCAATTCAATTCTATCTTCTTTTTTTTTTATACAGCACCAAATCACAACAACAGTCACCTCAAGGCACTTTATATCGTAAGGTAGACCCTACAATAATACATACAGGGAGAAACCCAACAATCAAATGACCCCCTATGAGCAAGCACTTTGGCGACAGTGGGAAGGAAAAACTCCCTTTTAACAGGAAGAAACCTCAGGCAGAACCAGGCTCAGGGAGGGGCGGGGCCATCTGCTGGGACCAGTTGGGGTGAGAGAAAATACTGCTAGCATTAGCCATGTTGCTAACTATTGATAGGTACTTGTCAAAGCCTGAAAATAATTTGTGGTCTAACAAACTAAAGAAGAAACAGCCACAATCAAATACTGATGTCTAAATTTTGTTTCCAAAAGAAAAAGAAGAGTATAAAAGTTAAGCACACCAAGTGATGCGCCCATGTGCAGCAAGAAGGATGTAGAACGAATAGAAAATACTGAAAATACTCATGTAAACGGAGAACACAATCATGGATACAGTAGAACCCCGACTTACGAAATTAATTCGTAAGTTGAAAATTTTCGTAAGCTGAAGCACCCATCGTGCCTTTTGAGTGAACGATAGGCTATAGGCTAATTTCTAACTGCAACAACAATACGTCGTTCAAGTGGAACAGCGAAGCGCAAGTACGAAAGCCAAGGGGGTTGTCACATGATTCGGAAGGCATTCTGGGCATTGTAGGCATTCTGGGCTCAGCCAATCAGAGCCAGAGGATTTTGTTACACGGGCATTTTGCCGTAACAGGGGCAGAAATATTGCCGTTAAGTCCCTTCGTAACTTGAATTTTTCGTTAAATGGGGTTCCACTGTACTTCTTTCAAACCCCATCTTTGTAAAATAAGGACTGTAAGAACGTAATATGTACAGAAAGATTAAGGCATCGAAAGATTGAATTTTAATAATACCTATAGGTGGTAAACATAGCTGTGTGTTCTGTGTCCATCGTTACAACGTAGATTTGCCGGTGTAACCCGGGTTTAAAAGATGCATAAATAGTAAAAGATAAGTGAAGTCTGAGAATATAAATATCAAAGAGTTCATTTATTTAAATTTTCTTGTTTATTAAAAAGGTAAAAGTTCATGTAAAATTATTAAAAACATGTTTGCATTGTTTAAAATAAGTTATCTTTCTTTTCTTGTGAATTGTTTGTGAGAACTGTAATTTCCTACGGGGATAAGGTCGGTGAAGGTAACACAGGGTGGAGAAGGAAAAGGGAAAAAGAGACGAGAGCGCGAGAAGAGGTGGTGCGTGAGTTACACGGAGCATCCGGAGAAGTTAGCTTGTTTTTTATGTACTAAGAGTAAGTGTGTTTTGACTTTTCGGACAGATAAGTCACAGTGTCGGTAAGCTAGTGACATAACACGTAAAGTTTCAGCGTGAGTCTGCTGGACTGTGTGCTTTGTTTCTTGCGGCTGTGCACGCATTAAGTTAAAGTGAGGCTAACCCAGCCGTTCGCTAATAAGGACTACTGTAGGCTGCCGTTTCGCTATAGTTGTGGAACGTAACAAGCTGCAGAGGATCGTTACCGAACTGGATAACGACGGACACACCCCAGATAGTCACTCTGAGTGCCCGCGTCACTCAGAGTACCTCTGGCAACGTGGGAAGCTAAAACAGGTAGCTTGTGGAGCACGTGGAGATCACGGACCTTCCTCATCTTTGTGCTACTGCATTCAGAGCGGAGTGTTTCTGACGGAGCTGAAGACAACTTGTTACCTGGATTAAGCTGGTGGGAATTGCACGTTTCACAAGGTACTGAGTTTATTTATTTATTTTTTGCTCGTTGAGTGAAGAACTTCCGGTTGGGAGATCGTTTTGGATTTATACTGGAGCAATACAGG